TTTTTTTTTTTTTTTTGTTTTTTTTGTTTTTTTTACCACAGCTTGGTGTTGGTTGGTGGTGGGGTGATTTTGTTTGGAGTTTGATGAACAAACTAACTATAGGGTTTTTCTTTTACCTCTCTTGTGTTTCTCCTTCATTTTTTTTTTTTTTGTGTATCCGTTTTGAAGCATTGCTTTTAGGTGAACTTTGAAAGTTTCTTAGAGGTTTTCATGATTATTACATAAAATAAAAGGAAATTTTGGTCACCTCGATTCTTCTTCCACTTAAACATCCACTTCGACCGAAATACATAATTAAAAGCCTTATCGAAGGGTCGTGTCCTCATGTCATGACATGTCATTCATGTTCATGTATGGAAAAAAGGTAGCCAAAGTCAAGTTGATTAGGCAAGCTAGAATCCCAAGAAGGAAAGGAATAATCACACCACAGAGCATTGCATTTCATGAATGAGTCTTTTACTTACACACGACCTGAAAAAGACAGATCATTGAGGCCCCATTGCCAATGAAGGGCATTCCCCTACCCTTTTTGTCCTTTTTTAATAACCCTCTATGCCCCTACCTTTTTGACTTGTGCTAATCCAATTAGCTTCCTTTATTAAGTTGAGTCAATACTTTGTTTTGTTGATTTGTGAGCTACTTAGCAACCTTTTTACATTCCCCATTGATGTTATAGGCTTAGAAATACCAACTTATTGAATTCACTCTACCTGATAATATTACGTTTTTTGAATCTTCAATACCAAAGTTGTTAAATGGGTAACTCGTCAATCTTTGGCATCTATTATTAAATTCACCTCTGATAAGTTGTCAATCCTTAAATGAACTATGTAATTGTGAGATCTCACATCGATTGGAGAGAGGAACGAAACATTTTTTATAGAGGTGTGGAAACCTTTCTTTAGCCGACATGTTTTGAAACCTTTAGAGGAAGTCTAAATAGGACAATATCGGCTAGCAGTGGGCTTGAAACGGTTACAAATGGTATCAGAGACAGTCACTGGGCGGTGAGTCAGTGAGGAACGCTGGGCCCGCAAGGGGGCGGATTGTGAGATCCAACATCGGTTGGAGAGGGAACGAAGTTTTCCTTATAAGAGTGTGGAAACCTCTCCCTAGCCGACGTGGATTGTGAGATCCCACATTGGTTGGAGAGGAGAATAAAACATTTCTTACAAGGGTGTGGAAACATCTCCTAACAGACGCATTTTAAAACCTTGAGGGAAAGTTCAAATAGAACAATATCTGCTAGCGGTGGGCTTGGGCTGTTACAAATGGTATTGGAGCTAGTCACTGGGCACTAGACCGGTAAAGGGGTGGATTGTGAGAGGGAACGAAGCTTTTCTTATAAAGGTGTGGAAACCTCTCCATAATTGACGTGGATTGTGAGATCCCACATCAGTTCAGTTGGAGAGGGGAACGAAACATTTATAAGGGTGAAGAAACTTCTCCTTAGACACTTTTTGAAATCTTAGGAAGTCTAGTGAGGATAATATCGGCTAGCGGTGGGCTTAGCCTGTTACAAATGGTATTGGAGCCCATCATCGGGTGCTAAAAGGGTATGGAAACCTCTCCATAGTCGACGTGGATTATGAGATTCCACCTCGACCGGAGAGAGAAATGAAATTTTCCTTATAAAGGTGTGGAAACCACTTCATAGCCTAACCTGGAAGGAAATCCTAAAAACGAAAGTTAAAACAAAATAATATCTACTTGGGTGAATTTGAGCTGTGTATTTGACAAATGGGTATTTTAGACTATTCAAATGCAATTCCTGATAAATTAAAAACCAGTCCATCAAATTGACCCCAACCAGAGGAGAATATAATAAAAACTATGCCCTACAACTCATAGATATAGTGAAAAAGAGAAAGAAAAGTGGGTTTGTTTGTTTTTGAGGACCCACCAAACATTCCCTTGGGTAAGTGTGTTTTGTAGTTTCCATTTAAAACTAACAGAAACCACAAAGAAAGTAGGGTTGGTAGGTGGCGGTGCAGAAGCAATAGCAGAAGCCGCAGCAGAACCCAAAGCCTCATCATAGTGATGCAACTTCCTTTGGTTTCGTGCCTAACTCATACCAATCTCTGCTGCCTTTGCTTTCACTTGGGAGTTCATGCGATCTTCTTATTCTCCACTCATATCATTTTTCCATTACATTTTCATCACCCTAAATTTGTAATAATTCTTAATTACAGGTTGAAGATGGAGGATTATTGAGAGTGAATCCACATTGGTTGGAAGATCATAGGTTTATAAGTAAGGAATACTATCTTTATTGGAATGAGACCTTTTGGGAAAGCCCAAAGCAAAGCCATGCGAGTTTATGCTCAAAGTGGACAATATCATACCATTGTGGAGAGTCGTGATATCTAATATGGTATTCAGAGCCATGTCAATAGAATCCTCAAATATCGAACAAAGTACACCTTTTGTTCGACACACCTCATAAACCGCAAGAGAGGCTTATAGTGTACTTTGTTCGAGGGGAGGATTTATTGGAAGTGAGTCCCACATTGGTTAATTTAGTGGAAGATTATGGTTTTATAAGTAAGGAATACTATCTCTATTGGAATGAGGCTTTTTGGGGAAGCCCAAAGCAAAGCCATGCGATCATACCATTGTGGAGAGTCGTGATATCTAACATATCTAACACCTCTTTCGTGCCATTTGGTATTTAGATTTCTAACCTCGTATCGTTATTTCAATGTCTTTACGTTTATTATGTGTTGTTTAATCACTCGTATGTCGGGGTTTTCTTTCTAGGAAGTTTCGTGAAGGGAATCGAGTCAAGCGCGAGTGATAACATAATATATACTTTTCAGGATTTTCTCCTAGCTTCACAATTCCGTCTAGGAAGAGTGATGTGGGGCTTATAGCTGAAGTCCTTCCAATATGAAAGAAGTGGCTAACATGCATGGTCGATTGAGAGCCTGAAAAAACTGATGTCAATTTAACGAAAGAGTCATTAAAATTTGATGAATTTAGACTCATCTTTTAAATAAAAAAAACATTTTTTAGTTGTTTTTTTCTCAAACAAAAAAACAAGTTCTAATTCTAAAGTTTGATGAATTCAATTCATTTTTCAATAAAAAACAAGTTCTAAATGTTACCATTGTTCATTTCCAAAAAAAAGTTCATTTCTTTGTTTTAATTTCCTAGTTCATTGTTCAATTTATTGGTTTTGGGGATTTATTTCATTGAGGGATAAGCTCGAGCTCTATGGGTGTCATGCGAATGAATGAGCCACAAGAGAGGAGAAAATCGAGGGCCAAACTAAAAGTAAACTCGTGTATTTTTCAGAACGCTTAATCTTTCGATTCTATCCTTAAATCCTAACAAAACTTCATGAATTTTGTCTCTATAGACTCCGTAGGAGAAGATCCACAAATTCCTTGAAGACGTCGTCACATGAGAGAAATAATGACAATGGTTGCGAGCAAAGAATTCAGGGTTAGTTGAGGCATGCTCTGGCCAAGTGCCATATTGTGCACAACGAAAGTCCTTATGGGAGACGACATTGTTGTAAGAGACGACATTGTTGTAAGAGAGGCAACTAAAATTGAGTGGGGGAGAGCCTGAGAGAATGAGTCGCTCACTCTATAAGAATGCTCCAAGAAGCGAGGACAAGTGAATTTCTTGAACTATCCTCTCTTGCTTAAGGTGGATTACGTCACAATAGATGTCAAGAATAACATTTGTTCGAGAAGGAGCACCCGGCTAGATGTGAAGGCAACAAAAGAATGAAGATACGGGAAGATGGAGAGAAACGTCACTGCAACGATTGCCACATGAGGTGGCCAGTACAAAGAGTTGGGGAGTGTAATGTCAACAACTGAAATGTAATATCCCTAATTTGCTTAATCTAACTAGTAATGTCATCCCATGTAATTACATATGTTGGAAATTCATAATAATACTTTTATAGTAAAGCCATTGACTTACATATTTAGTTCAAAACACGAAATTAAACCTAACATAGTTTTAAATGTAAAACAAACTGTATTAAAAACACCTATTAATTACTAATTGAGATTCAATGCGATCTACAACCCAATTCTTACTTCCATGGTCTTTTCACCATTCATCGTCATCCGTTC